ATCGGGATCTCGCGGGGCTGCGATTCATTCGCCAATCGCCAGGTGCGTTCTTGCTCATCCTTGACTGACTCCATGCGACCATGCCAGGTTCTCGGCTCGTGAGCTTCTTTGTTGTTTCAGTTCCTTCTGCTGGTGGATTAGATGGTGGTGCTATTGATTAGCTACTCGAATATTTTGTTGGTAACTTGGAGTCCCCGTTATGTTGGCTAGAACTGTCCACTGTCCAGGTTCTAGTTTTGGTTATGTTAGCTCAGTCTAGTTGGTTCTGTGGAAAGAATAGCTTTGAATTCCCTGCCATCTTTAATCCAATTCTCATGCTCCGTGGCGTTGTCCTTACAGCAAACTTCTGATGTGTTCGTTAGGTACTACTTCCTGTTCCAAGTATTCATGTGGCATGATTGGTGCGCGTTTATTTGAATTTATGCTTTCCAATATTCTCTCGGTGGTCGGTATCTGTCAATTGCCACTAAGTTTGGTGCGGGGCGCTTTTAGTTTATGTATATCTAGTGGTTTCCAGCCTGGTGTTTGGGCTCCCTGCCTTTTATCCATCTATGATTAGCTTTAATAGTTCACCAAAAATATTCTCAAGGCAGTAGCCGTACTGAGCTTTGATACCAATTGCTCACATAGGTTCTTGTCAGTTTTTATCACGCAGTAGATGTCACATACTTCTAACATCATACCGCACACTTCAATTTGTTCGTTAACTTGGTTTGGTTCCTTGCAGCCATCCTACTCCAAAGCCACTGTTCTGAAGATTTGAGACACTTCTGGAGATGGGTACAAGGATGCCAATCTTGCCCCGACTATCGAGCGCACTGTCCACTGCGTTGCTGGAGTGGATCCTGATGTTCCTGTTGTTCATCGATGCGGTTTACAGCTTCTTGGTCACTAGATTCGCCCGTCTCTGCAGATTACCAGCGCCATGCCCTTTCTGCTCAAGGCTTGATCACGTCCTGGGCAACGAGAAACCATGCTTCTATAGGGAGTTGATCTGCAAAACCCACAAGTCGGAGATTTCATCCTTGGCCTTCTGCAGCCTCCACCAGAAGCTCACGGGAGCCCAAAATATGTGTGAAAGGTGCTGTGGGAAAGTCCCCGATGATGATAAAACAGATGAGACTGTGATGGATGCCAATGTACTTGATAGCAAACAAAGAATTGATGATGCTTTGAATTCCCCTCGTGAAAAAGTTTGCTCGTGCTGTGGACAGCATTTTAAGCAACGGAGTGTAGCTTTGTCCTCTAGAAAGAATGCAGAACTAGAGCCTAGTGGAGCGTTTGGCTCACCAAAAACTTACACAGAGTACTCTGTAGTATGTCAAGTGGACGAGCCTTTGGAGCCTAAAGATATATACCACCAAACTGACTACAGGTCTAATGAGCGAGACGGTCTGCTACAGATGACATCTGACTCTGAGATTGAGGTCCCTTGTGCCAATGATGTGAAAAGTTCACAATCTCGTGAAGCCAGTGTTATGGACGAAGACTTACAAGAAGATACAGCTTGTGAGCAACCCGTTCTTCCTTCCCCTGTGGTGATCAAGGAATCTGAAATAATTGTCAAGAAGGAGCCCAGTGTTGAAGACACCTGCAATACATCTTTGGCGTGTCCTGCTGTGGATGATCATCCAAATAGCGGAGGTGATGTGGACCAGACGGAAGAAAAAGAAAGCCAATCCAGAAAATGGGCACACCGGCACGATCCTGTACTTGTTATAGAAAATTCAGGTTTAGAAGGTAATTTTTGCTTCACAAACTGGAATGATTGCCTCTACTGCCACTTCTTTTCAAATGATAAATTATATGATTGGGTGAATAATCATGCAGATGCTGGCATTTCACAAATTCCAGTTATGCCAAGTGATGAGCTACCACAGGTTCCTGGTGAGATTGAACCATCTCAGAGCACAAATGAAGGCAACGCTGATCCATATACATCTCAGTTCACAATACTAGAGGAGCACTATGCTGTTTCAGAAGAAGGAAATATGAAATGTATGTTTTCTTGATTCTTGATTACAAATGAAATGGTGTTTAGCATTTCTCCACTTAACCCTAACACAGCAAAAATTTGCTAGGTATTCTGGAACAAGTTCATGTGCCAGAAATTACTGGAAGATCAAGTGGTGAGTTTCATCAGAGAAGTGCGCCAGCAGCTGATCCACATACAAATGAACTGGTGCTAGAGAATGCTCATCATGGTGCTTCAGAAGACGCAAATCAGAAAGGTTTGGCTTTTATTTCCCATTGGCTTTATACACCTTTGATAATTAAACCTAAATAAAGGACTTCATGTTTCCTCTGTTAGATAATTGCGGGGATATCCATGTTTCACAAGTTGGTTCTGGTTCCAAAACGTGTGGTGAAGTTGAAGATTGTACTAAGAAAATTGAACCCACCGGTGACATGGGGGCACACGAACTGATAGTCAAAGGTCCTTTTGATAGTGCTCCCAAAGATTTAATAGATAAAGGTTAGTAAAAAAATGATTTATGTCCAACACAAACATTAATAAAATTGGCCCTTTCATTAAGCTATTTTGCTCAGATTATGTGGACGAACCTCATATATCAGCAAGATCAAGTGGTGAAGTACCTCAAGATCATAGTGCCACCGAGGAATACCCAAAAACAAGTGACAGCATTGTTGAAAGGAGACCATCTCTAAGCACTCAGATTAGCATGAATGAAGCCTATAGACTTGCCATTGGCAACAAGGGTAGCTTGCCATCCCCTACCTTGACGGATGTAATCCTTGGAAAGGACTCTACTTCTAGCATAAACGAAGAACTGAGGCTACTGCTATCTCAGCTCTCAGCTTCCAGGGGGCTTGAGGCACCATGGGTCGATCCAGGTCCTAGCCCACGTGCATATGGACGTGGTGATGAGTTGGTGGTACAGAACATTACCAATAGAATTTCACTTGAGAGGAATGCTTCCGGTTTGGAGTCTCTAGACGGAAGCATTGTCAGTGAGATGGAAGGTGAGAGCACCATTGACCGGTTGAGACGACAGATTGATCTTGACCGGAAATCAATACACCTACTCTGCAGGGAACTGGAAGAAGAGAGGAACGCCTCAGCCATTGCTGCAAGTCAAGCTCTGGCTATGATCACCAAGTTGCAGGATGAGAAGGCTGCAATGCAGATGGAAGCTTCACATTACCAAAGGATGATGGAAGAGCAAGCTGAATATGACAGTGAAGCGCTGGCGAAAACTAACGAATTACTGGCTGAAAGAGAACAACAAATAGAGGAACTGGAAATTGAGCTCGAAAACTATAGGAGACAGTATGGAGGTGGAGCAATAGAGGAACGAGGCAATCAAGCGGCTTTTAAACAAGAAAATAGGGATACAGCTATGCTTGACGTTAGTGATCTTGAAGATCCTTTGATTAACACACAGCAGGGCATAAATTCCTTGGTGAGTTTGGAAGAGGAGAGGGCATATATAGCAAGTGGTTTGAGAAAATTGGAGCAAAAGCTCCAATTCTACTCCAACAACAGTGTTTCTGTTGATTTACCCAGTCCAGATGTTAAGGATGACCTCTCCGACAAAGTATATGTCATAGAAGACTTCTCGTTACACCGCCAGAAAAGCTCAATAGAGAGCAAGGAAGCTGGCTCATCGACAACCAGTGGGGAGGTTGATCTAGTTGCAGTGCAGGAAGAAATTGCAAAGTTGAACAGAAGACTGAAGACACTAGAAGGAGATCGCAGTTTTCTTGAACATAGCATCAACTCCCTCAGGAATGGCGACGAAGGTTTGATGTTTATACAGGAAATTGCTTGCAATCTGAGAGAACTGCGAGCAATTGCTATTGACAAGAAGTAGAATTCCAAAATGTGTATAATAGTCATTTTCTCAAAACTTATTTGTGCAATAGATATCGAATCAACATATGAATTGTGCATCATGTGTGTATCATCTTAATGAAAAGAAATTCTTCTTGTAAGTAAGCACCAGATACTGTTGTAATTATCTTGAAGGAAATTCAAGGAAACGAATCTTCGATGCATAGAAGGCATATAATTTTTCAATCATAATTGTGTGTCACAAACAAAACCGGATAGGCTGAGACGTTCCGTAAGTACCTGGTTGTGGACATGACCTGGTAATCCGGTAGGTGCATCCTTTGTTCCAAGATGTTTGTTTTAACTTCTCTAACTTCAACTTACTTTATATAAAAAAAATCAAATGTACTAACTCCATTCCAAATTATAGACATTTTAAGTTTTCTAGATATATCATTGCTATGCACTTAGATATACACTATGTCTAAAAATATAGTAAAAGAAATGTATCTCGAAAAAATCAAAACGTCTTATAATTTAAAACGAAAGGAGTATTAATTAAGTTATTTATAAATTTCATTAAACTTAAATAAGTTTGACTTATGACAAAACTATAATAATAACGGTATACGCTTTAAAACGTCTCTAGCCTCCAATTTTGCAGCGAAGGCGGACTGAAAATGTCTCTCGTCCTGTAGTTATCAGACGCAGATGCCGTAAAAATAATCACATCAAGCTTCTTTCCCAAGGAGCCAATCATGTCATTATGTCAAAACACTTTTTCAAGACAAATTAATAGAAAGCAAGCACTATAAAATTCCGCGAACAATAGGCGACAGGGCTGCGATAGGCCTCGTTCGCTTGTCTTAAATTTAATTTAGCTTGTTCGGCCTATTTTTTCAGCCGGAACAGTATTTTTCTCTCACAATAATTCAGCCGGAACAGTGTTTTTCAGCCAGTTTCAGCCAAAGTTCAGACCAGCGAACGGGGCCTTACGCTTGGCTTGTTAGCTGCAGTTATATGCTCTTCGAACCACATAAATTAACATACAATCACATGATAGGCTGAATGCAGGTACAATTTTACATGGTGTATTCCTTCTTTCCTATTTTGAACTTAAAACAATTCAAATTAAAGGACATGGCGAACTTTAGACTTGGCACCATGGTTTGTTACAAGTATTATTATGGGTCGTATACAGGCATCACCATTGCCCATTGGCAAGGCGATACATATAATCTGAATATTCCCCATTCACCCTCCCACTAGCTAAATTAGTATACTCTCCCATCTGCTGTGGAACTACATTAGGATTATTTGCAAGGTTCACAGCTGGATTTGGATGGCTATATGGCCAACGCTGCGGTGCAGTTGAGTCCAACCTTCCGTTGGGGTAAGCATCCAACCTATGCGGAGCATTGTGTGTGTCATCATAGGCCCTCCTGTAACCCTCATCATAGTAAGGGTCAGTCAAGTCAAACCTGACAGAACTACTTACGGAAGCTATTTCTGAGTCTGCCATATTGCCTCCTGAAGAAAATGGCAAACCAAATGTATGATACTCATGGAGGGGAGAGACTGTCATATGCGCGCTGCTTTGGTCTTCATCAAGCAAGTCATTTATAATATCAATGTGAGGGAATTCTTCAGCCACTGACCCATACTGCTGGCGTGAAACAAAGCTTGCACCAGGTATCTCCCTCTGGAGCTCCCTACTCTGTAGTTCACCCAATCTGCGCTGTTCTGTCCCACTGCTGCTTAATTGCTGATAAGAAATATCTTTCGACTGGTGCACATGCACATCACAATTGGTCATTTGCTGGTTAGGAACATCATCCTTCCACATATGTCTGTTAACATCACTGTTACCTTTCCATGAGTGCCGGTTATCAAGGGCTTCTGCCCTGCTAGGCCCAAACATGAAGCCTTGCTTACCTGGTAATTGGTCATTCCTTTCGAAAGGAGGAGCCATGACCGATGTTGCCATCGCATATGCTGACCATGGCTGTGAAACTGCAGTATTTGGGCAAACAGAAGTTGATTGCTCAAGACTTGCTGGAGTTGTATCAAGATGGCCCTTACCAAGGATTGCATTTCGATATGTCTGTGTTACATAAATTGGGGCCGGAGGTGAAGGCTCATTGTTTGGCCGTTCAGACACAGTCAGTGAACGTGAAAGCAACGGAGAAACTTGAGCTGATGGTGTAGGTGGCATAGTTGATCTTGGTACCTGTAGCAGAGGTGCATTTGTAGGCCTTGACATTGGCGTAGGAGTTCCAGGTACAGAAACAACTGAAGCCCTCTCAGAAACCGTATCTTCTCGAGTCTTGGAGATAGATGTGGACAGAATCTGTCGCGATACTGAGTTATGTGAGGCAACTTCATCAGCCTGGGGTGCAGGTGATTTGGGGGCAGCTTGTATGTTAGCAACTTTATCAAGCTGTGATGTAGAAGATTTTGTGGGAGCTGCAGCTTTAGCGACTGTATCAATCTGAGGCAATGGTGATTTGGGTGGAGCTGGAGTAGCTTTAACAACTGTATCAGCCTGTGGCACAGGTGATTTTGGGGGAGTTGGGTTAGCCTTATTATCAACTAGTGGTGATCTTGAGGGCGTTAGAGGAGCTTTATTGATTTGCTGGCTTGAACTTGATACATGTTCTTCACACAAAACTTGCTCAAGTTTACTTGGAGTGGGATTGACAAGCACAGATTTGGTGTTCATGGTGGATGTTGTCGTTGCTAGAACAGCTCCATTGCTGTCGTCACTTATGGCTACAGGTACAGCCTTTGGAAGTGGTGCATTAATATTTGCATCATTAACAATTACCGAGGATTGCTCTGGCCCCTTCAGAACCTGGGGGGTCTTTTCTGAGTTAGATGAGGATGCTAGGGATGAACCCACTGTGGCCTCAGCAGCTGCCTTCTTTTCCAAGTGAGCCTTGAGCAGTTCCCTGCCCTCAATTTCTTTCTGAAACAAACATAAATGCAAACAAACTAATTAACTTTTTTACTGGCAGCTAAATAAAGCAGCAGGATAGCTGATAGATAGAAGTGCTACAGAATATGTATAATCTTAGTATAAGATTAAATAAGCTTCGAACTCAGGAAATGAATCACCAGATTCTTTTGTAGGACATCTACCAAGTAATATGCTACAAATATAGTCACCAAATATACGTTTTCAGAAGAAACAAAACATTTAGAATGCAATCTTCATGTATCCAGCTACAGCGTATTCACAGAGCTGGAGGTGGTCTGTGCTTTCTGTACATATACAACAGAAAAGGGAGAATTGTTGCTCTGCCAATTAGATCATGATAATCAAGTGATATATGCTATCTCGCCAAAACATATCCACAGTATTAGAGCAACAGCTCTGGTGTTTGTCCCTGCAATTGAACTATGTAGCAATCGCAATCAAATTCCAAAGCATTGTATTTATAGCATCATAGATCTGCATCTTACATTTTGTTGATTTCCCACAAAAATCCTTGAGTTTTCTACGAGTACTATAATTCAGTCAAATACAATGAAAATCTTAGCCAGAAACCATGAAGTGTTTTTAGCGAAAAAAAGTATCTCAAAAAGATGATCTAAAATTCCAAATTGAAAATCAGCAGCTATATCTTGAGTATATCAACAATGCAAACCAGACTCAGGGGTATAAAATTGTGATAAAGCTAAAATAAACTTAAAGAGTGCGCTCGAGTAAGGCAGATCTGTCCTAAATTAAAGTGAACATTCAATAATAATTAAAGCATAATTATAAATAGTGCCCAATACTTTTTGAGAACAGCTGCTTCACCTCATGTAGTCGTTGCCCAAGCTCACGAAGCCGATCTTTTAAGGTGAGTAGAGCAGTCTCCTGGTCACGCCTTGGAGCTGGACCACAGGCAGACATGTTGCGGTCTGAGCAGCTAGATGAGGGAAGGTCATCTTCATACTGGGAAATGATTATACTGCTGATGCCCCTGTTGCGCCGACTTCTTCCTCTGTTGCGCCAAATTGCGATTCAGTTATGATAAATTATTAAATCCAAGCTGCCAAGAGAAATATCGCAAAGTTTGGATGAAATGCTAACTGACCTATTAGGCGTTATAAGACTTGTACTGTCTAGCAAATTATTTATTTTGCCTCGTATGCTGTTCACAGCAGCAGACACAGATGTTACGAGTGTCTCGATGTCCACAGTAGAATCGTCATCTTTAGATGTCTGTGAATTGTTCATCTCAATACCAACATCATTCATTGCATTCACAGGTATAATCTTGTCACACGTGTCAGTTTGGCATACCTCTGTTGATCCACTTAGTTTGTCTGATAAATCTGAAGCACCTTCTCCAAAGTTATCAGCTTTCACAGCAGATTGCCCTACCTGCTTAGAGTCCTCCCTGTCATGATTTGTGCTTCCATCCTGACGCCTTTCTAGAAAATTTGAATCAGATTTCTCTTCTCTTTCCTTGTCCTTAACCTTACGATTATTCTTCTTTTGTTTGGCCTGAAATTGTTAGTGTAAGCAAACAAATTTATAAAATGTCACTTAATGCAAAAGAAATGACGAACTGGGCATTAATAAGAAAGATGCCAGTAAAGTAGAGGATCAAAAAATCACTAGTTCAACATGTATTATGGTACCACCAAAAAATGAGTTCTTGACATGCAAAGCTTCCTGGTAACTTGATAGAAGCATCTCATGATAACTTGACCTTGAGAGCTCAGAATTTAGAGCTAATGTATTTTACGGATACAAATAAAAACTTAATCCAAATTACATGGTACTTGATGTGTTATGGGGCCATGGGCTTAGGGCCATCGGCTACACGGCAAGGTAGAAGCAGCATACAGAAGCAGTGCACCAACCAAAAGCAGCTCGCGTCCAGGAACTAGCAAGCTGGATTAGCGTGCACACATGATTTACATGATAGTTGGCTTCAATGCATGGTTAGCTAATTATAGTTTACTAGATCCACACCCATCTGTTAGCCTTTTTTTATGAAACTTTTTTTTTACGAAACCCCATCTGTTAGCCTTATCAGTCTGTTAGTACACATGTTACAGATAGATCTATATATACAAAGCATGTCATTTCCTTTAGAATAGGCAAGAAATAAACTAGTCTCAGAACGATCAGAGCCTCCTGCCACAGGGATGAATCAGCTGCTGACAAGAGATCTCGCCATTATTCCATACCCCTGGCGGTTCAGGGCTTCCAAATTCCCCTGGAGAGCGAATTTGCCTCCACCCTCAGTCCTCGGACCCTGACCTGAACCCAGTCCATACCATCATGGTTTTTATTCACCTTTACAACTCATTCGCCAGAAGAACAGTTGTCTTCTGTGGCTTCATTAATTTAACTATATATAAAGCAAAAGTATGAACTTTGCTTAAAGAACCAAAAAAAAAAATCTAGGAGTCACTAATCAGAGGGGCCTGTGTAGGTATTGGCTAAGCAGAGCAGTTCAAAAACTTGACCAAATATCCCTGAGTCGACACTGGAATTTATATGTGATTAAAACATGATGATTCTAGTCAAAGGAAATGTGTAAAATGCAGCAGCAGTCACTTTCAGCCCCCATATTTTTTTTTTCTTTTCTCGGCCACCCACTGAGAAAATTGATTGGTTTCAATCAATTAACACCAGGAAGTCATCACAGTAAATTGTCAGTAACAAAGTCGATGGCGAACCAATCTAGGCTTGAAACTCTAGACAACGACTAGGAAACTTGCCATGCATCAAGCCATCAAAACAAGACAAGACACATCGGTCATTAAGAATTCTAGCAGGAAAATAATAGTTCCATAATGCACAGATTCAAGTAGCTGGATGTTCTTCCAGTTAGGGAGCGTTCGGTTGGATGATATCCCTGGATGGGATATGGCCATCCATAGATAGGTGCTGTTTGGTTCATGGGCAAGTTGGATATGGATATCCCTGACAGGAGAATATTATACCAGATGCTAGATAACCTTGCCACCAAAAATTTGCCGAGCGAGCACATCCATGTTTTCTAATCTTTGTCTTTAGTAAATAAATTAAGGATTATTAGTATATTATATTATCACTTAGTAATTATGATGAAGGGCGGGCCTGGTGCAAGCGGTAGAGTCTTACCGCCTGTGACCGGAAGGTCCCGGGTTCGAGTCACGGTCTCCTCGCATTGCACAGGCGAGGGTAAGGCTTGCCACTGACACCCTTCCCCAGACCCCGCACAGAGCGGAAGCTCTCTGCACTGGGTACGCCCTTTTACTTGGTAATTATGATGACAAGATTAACTTTGATAAGTGTTAATATGGTGATTAGTGTATGTTTTCAGTGCCAATTAAGGTAGTAGTAGTGCTTATTAACATATTCTATGTTTAATTAGATATTATCATGACAAATTTAGTGTTAGTGTATATTTAATAGTGTATAATTAGTTGTCATTATTTTAAAATAATAGATACAATTAGTTAGCTATTCTCATCCCATCCAATTTCATCCATCCAACCAAACAGAAAAATGGCTCGCCCCATCCATCCAACCAAACAACAAGCATTGATAAACCCACCCCCAGATCCATGGATGGCCATATCCCATCTAACTTCGTCCTCAAACCAAATGCACCCAACAAACTTGTTCAAGCTAACTACAGCAGGTCAGCAGCAATGATTTCATCAAGTCACCCTGATGCCAACCACATTATATTGAATCAGGAATTAAAAAAGAAGACTGGGTGCACAGAACCACATCAAGAACGCAACCTGTTTTTTCTTTGAACGCTTATCCTTTTCAGTGGCACTGCCACGCTTCCCCTTCATCTCATTTTCAAGGAGCTCCTCTTCACGAATAAGCTCCTCTTGCCTCTTCAAAGCAACAGCTTCTTGATAGGCAACCTCAATCCCACTAACATGAAAGCAAAATGTAACAAAGCAATGCATGAAATAGTAGTCAGGGCATGTCAAGATACTGGAACAGAATGAATCGAATTTTGTGTATAAAAACATTGGTAAACAAAGAACGTAAAGAACACACTTTGATGCAGAAAAGCAAAAGTTCATTAAACAATTTCTAGATAATCGGCGGCATGAACCTTCTGGTTGACGATGTCTAAACATGAGATGATACCAGAAGAAACAAAATGGTTGAAAACGTTCATAGTCTGACCAATAAACCAACCATGTGGAGCTAAGAAGATAGTAAAAACCAAAAAAAATACCTAAATATATGAGATAGAACAAATATTTCAAGTATCTTCTGACCAATCTCAGTTAGGCACCTTTCTTCACGCTCAATAGAAACTTTGTTAATTTCTCCAGTACCACCATCCTGGAAGGATGAGAATGAGAAGGAAAAAAAAAACTAAGCAGCAAAACAATAATTATATTCTGCAAAATAATGCTAGCAATTTCAAGACACAAAGACCACAAGCAGAACAGTTGACAATTCGATTTATACTGCCACTTATATTACTGGAAAATGGTTTCATTTTTGCCTTCCACCATCAGAGGTAGAACTTCCAGGACTGATTGTGAAATGTAGATTACATGATTTTGGAGTTCTAGAAAGTGAAGAATTCGAGGGGAATAAGCAAGCTTGTAACAAATCTGTTTGTGAAGCAAATATTGCATTTATTTGAGTACAACCACCTGGAGAGTGACTAATTTAAGTGAGTAATTAGCTTTGAGAAATCAAAATTAATAATACAAGAAATTATACTATGATGCTTTCAATTGACACCAGTCTCTTTAGGTTATGAACTTATTAGACATCACAACTACCTAGTGTGGCCACACTTGCGACGGGTGTTCTAGCTAGCAAGTAAAATAGATTAAATGCTGGATGAGAAACAGGTGGATAAATTTTGAGCAAAACAAAGTTAATTCATATCAATGTGATGAAACTAAACAGATGCTAATGTTGTGGAATCATGATAGAATTCACTTGGGGGAAGAAAATCCAATCTCAATGATAAAACTAAGGGATCAGATTAATCATATAACAATACCTACCTTGGCACGGGTTTGGGAACATTTGTCATCTTTTGGTGACAGAGATTGACAAGACAAGGGCTCTAAAGCTGCCCTCTCAAGCAAAGCTATGAAGTCACCAGCCAAAACAAACATGTCCATATCAACATGGACCATAGGTGCTGATAGCTCCTCCAAGTCCATTGAAGTTACCATTCCTTTCTTGCCATTGCTACAGCCCTCAAGTGCCTTCAAACCTGTATACAGAGCATCCATAACTAATGTTGAGGTCACGTCTTTCTCGACAAAAAAATGCTTCACCACTATTTTCAATATGATGTCGCTCTTCTCTCTGGACATGCGATGTTTTGTTGTTGGGTCAATCGCAAGCCAGAAAGCACGGAAACTGCAACAGAAAGAAGGGTCAGCATACATTATAGATTATATACAAAAAAAATAAAATGGCAAGTATTAAACCATTCTGCGTTCACAATATTCAAAGGCCCATTATCTGACCTGGACCACCTCATGTCATCATCAATAAGCCTGACAAGTTTCCTTCTGCGTTCGTGAACAAAACGTCGGTAAATTTGCTCTATGTTTGTCATGTAGACACGGAGCAGTTCTCGACGATAAGGGCGATCAAGGCAACGAAATGGTCTGTCTGCTTTCTCTCTCCAGTATCCAAAAACAAAAGAGAGAACAGTTACAATTTGTTTTTGTGATCAATTGATGAGAACTCAACATCTCTCTTTTTAAGATCTTTGAGAAGTAAAATATCATATCAAGAAGGTTTTTTTAACTCAGTATCAAGAAGCAAAATTCTCAAACCTAGCTGAGAACATAATATTGGTTTATACAATAGTAAACATGTAAAGAGAGGGCCTCAAACATAAGGAAATCTCAAATCTGGATGAAATGCAACAGAATAAAGCTTATTGCGACTAAAAAAGTTTGAAAGAAAGTTACTACTAAATGAGCAATTACACCTTGTAGTAATAAAGTTAGAATTTTTAATAGGACAAGATGACACAAGAAATCCATGTTTGAATTATCAAGAAGAGCACAAATTACCCCAACAAGATCATATCAACTCCAAGTGCATCATATGAACATCACTGGTATTTTAATTTTTAAAAGCATGGTAATCAGATTTCTTTAAGAATCGTTATGAAACTAACTACCTGATAACTTGAACTTGAGCTATGATTTCAAGAACATCGTCAACAAGAAAACCATCTTGAATCTTTGATAGCTCCATAAACTTTTTCCACCCCCAATCATGTTCCTTCTTCCAGAATTTGTGCAAGGTGTCTGCAAAGTTACTTCGTCAACTTCTGAAGCTGGCTGTTTTTCTCAGAAGGAAGAAAACATCAGTTCAGCTCACCTGAATATTTAACTTTCTTTGGATCAAGGTTGCCTACAGCTATAGTAAACTGTGCAAAATGGCTCCATCCTTAAAGCATCAAGACCATGATTAGAAGGCAAAAGATATGTGGAGGACAAAGGAAAGGATAGGCAACATAGTAGTATCAAACCTGGGAGAAGTTTTTCATGATTAGCAACGCAAAGAAACAATGACAAGTGATTGGAGACATCGCATCCTTGAGGGTAAACTAGAATATACCTGCAAAATGAGCAAGAGATAAACTTATAGAGCATCCAAGCAGTGCGCATTACAAACTGAGCTGCTCAACAATTTATAATCCCAAATACAGAAAAAGCACAACTACTGGAAAACGATAGCAATTGTTAAGGTATAATAGTCAAGGGTTTTTTCCTCTTGTGTCTCCCATGTACTCTATATATAGTCCCTATTGGGCCTCAATAGTATGATCCAGTTCAATTCGCAGCAACTCCAGTCTGCGTGATTCCTCTGCACGCCATTCGACGGGGGAGCGCATGTCGTCCGCGCATGCCTCCGCCCACCGCAGACGCCCGGCTCGTCGTCACCCTTCGCGGACAGCTACACCCGCTTCCACCCGACATTGCTATGCGAGGCCTGCTCGTCGAGGTTCCCCATCGAATTGATGCGGCCCCACAGGGGCCATCTGTCTTCGTCCATCCGTCTCCGCCCACTCTGACTGGAATTGCTGCAGCTTTTCACCCGCCCCTGGTTGGTCAAGCGATCTGCTCTGCTCCGCTTGTGCTCTACTGCTCTACTTTGTCCTGCTCTGCATTGTGCTGCTGCTCTGATCTCAAGGATTTCTCTGTTCCGGTTTGCTATCATCGGTGCTGCTGCTAGTGTGGCCCTCTCCTAATTTCCGCTGCATCAGTTGCATCGGTGTCCATCCAAGTCCAATTTTACACATCACAGTTCGTCTAAGCCGTGCGTGTCCACATATTTTGTCAGATTGCCAAAGGGCGCCTAGCTCAAACAGTTAGGTGACCCAGCGGCACTCCTCAGGTCCTGGGTTCGACTCCCCGTGGGAGCGAATTTCAGGCTGAGGTTAAAAAAATCCCCTCGTCCATCCCCATAACCAAAGCACTGGGGGGGGGCACCGGCCCAATTCTCACTTGGGCGACGGAAAGCCACCGTGTAAGGGTGGGGGCGGGGGTTCGGGGGTTTTCTCGGCCGGGTGAGAAGGTCCTTCTTATTTGTAATGCTGCGGGGGCAGTCTTAACCCCCCCGGTCGAGTTTTTATATTTTGTCAGATCAGCCAACTTTTTTTTCTCTTCTTTGCTTAGCTGAGTCCCGTTGATTTAGCTAATCATCATCATCATTGATGCGACTATGCCCTCTTGTCTCTTTCGTAACCATTTTGCTACACTTCATGATCAAAGTCCGTTTTTTTGTCATCGTCGTCATCATTCTATGCTACTGCTTGCCGTTTTGCAGCAGTGATCTCTCTATTCTTCCTTTGGCTTGATTTGACACATCTCTTTTTTCTTGTCGAGTTTAAAAGTCTCCAAAGTAAGGTTCATATATGAAGAGTTGAAGTACTGTGTTGTGAAGACTCAAAGTATTTGCTGAAGCACTAGTTGTGAAGGCAGTACCCTCTTGTGGAGGTCTGGAGGAGATCATTTTCTACATCGACAGTGTTCAAGAGTTGCACGCTTCGACGACATCTTCTATTTTGGATTTTGGTGTAATTCGTCTCTTTTTTTTTCAAGTGTAATGCATCGTGTCAACTCTCCAAATGCAACAACATTGCAATCACGTTGCATTTGAGAGGGGGTATTAAGGTATAATAGTCAAGGGTTTTTCCCTCTTGTGTCTCCCATGTACTCTATATATAGTCCCTATTGGGCCTCAATAGTACGATCCAGTTCAGTCTCCCTTTATTCGTAACAGCGATAACAGCATGGCATGCGGAAATAAGATGATTTGCACTTTACATAGACTAACTGGTTCAAGGATCATAGAAATATGGTGGAATTAGAGTGCAGAAGAAAAGGTCTAGGGACTAAAAGGTGACCTAATAGCATGCTCTGCGCCCTAATTTAAGTTTTAAAGCAGTAGACAAAATCATTGGAAGGATACCAAGAATGCAATAAAACCAAGTAGAGAAAATCCACGATATTCCAGCAAAGGTCAACATATCACATATCAGCAAGACAAATATAGAAAAAAATCATAAATATAAGAATTTATGTTATTCTGAAAAGGTTGAAGAAGCAACCAAAACTCCATGGAAGCCGATAAAGGCCAAAAATTAGTGACAATACATAACTAATAGCAAAACCATCCCTTCTTAACAGTGACTGAAACTTAGGCTTCTGAGTTTGTAGCAGCACTTTCTCAGAACAAAAGCGGTACAGAATAGTGGTATACACATAACTCATGCTGTGATACATTTCAACTTAATGGTTTTAACACCTCTATAGTTCCATCACCAAAAATTCATAAATAATAAAATAATATAATGGCCAGATCCTAGTAAGGCCCTGGTTACATCACCAGAATGAAAGCTAATTTATGGTTAGTATGGAACTTCCATGTCGTCCTCAAAGGTTGTGGCCTTGTGGGAAGAGCATATGGTTAGCTTGCTTTGTAGCAAATCATAAAGGAATGCAATCTATGGCATTTTAAGACACTGATTTACCCAATTGCATAGAATAGTTGTTAGGCCCATAGAATAGCAAATATAAAATTCAGTGTGATAACTGATGTATGGAAACATGGAGTGAATATTACGGCTCCAAAAACTGAACGACAAGGAATGTTTCAAGTAACAGGACAGCTATTGGTAATGATGTTGTAGATCATCAAACAGGTTCTCAACCATTTTTGAAATTTCTATAAGACAAGGTAATCAAAATAACAATTATATAGAGCCAATTCTTTCCAGTTTGCAGAGATTCATGATTCCTATCACAATTTAATGTTTAACACTAACAGTGAGGGCACTAGAGTTTTAAAACCATTATGAAAACATGTGATAGTCACACAAAACAGTGAAGAAACATGAGCCAGAGAGCACTGTACCGCAATAATAGCAATGATTGATACATGATAGGCCACATGTAATGAAGTACAACTAAGAAAAGCATGTTAATATAGACTAATAGCATATAAAAACAAAGCTAAAACACAGACATTTCAAAGTGCATTCATCACCAAACCAATAAGAAAAGTAGAAATGAGGAATGCAGAATGCCGCAGCAGCATTGGGAATATTTAATCTTACCACTTGTAGCCACCAGCTTCAAATGGTTCACTTTTCATTTCTCTCTTCTTCTCCTTTGAAAAGTTTTCAATTTTCCAAGTATATCTCCCAAATAAATCTAAAGGTCTAGGCCCTGAGATCATACAGATATGCGCAAAATGAAATGACACTGCAACATCCACTCTACTAGTAAATTAAAACAATTCTAAATGCCACAAAAGGGGAAAAGAAACACATGTGAGGAAGTGATAACAGCAAGCAGTGTGTCAAGATCTGAACTAAGAACAAGCACCTATGTTTGTCCTTTAATCAACCAGGCACAAATACAGATGCAAAAATGCTGAAGCTAACCACAGACATTGTTGGAAACAAAATCACTTTGATTCTCTCTTCAATAACACAAGTAGCTAGTAACACAAGTTTGTACTATACTGATCTTAAAGCTTCACACTACAAGCTTACACACCTTGCTTGATCTTCACAGCCCAGCTATACTATCACACATACACACAAGCTTACTACACACCATACGCTAGCTTGATCTTCACGACCAAGCTCTATCTTCTCTATATCTCAAACTTTCTACTACACAGGGGGGTTCCTGCCCCTTTTATGGTTTCAGGGTTGGTTACTACAGCACTGCTACAGGAGCCGACCTAATAGTACACAGCTGACATTACCCTACTTGCTAGCTAAGCAAACAGCTGTTACAGTTAGAAGTAAAAGCCAATTTGCTCTATTTTTCACCCCCAGCAGTTTGCTTGTTGCTTCCTGCAGTGGTAACCTTCAAGTCGACTAAATCAACTAACAACTAGCTAGTACTAGAAACTTCAGAGCTGCTGTTTTCATGTAGCTCTCTCATCCAGGAACCATCTAGGCCTACACAAGCATGCCTAGCACTAATATGCCTTATGACAAGATTAATCCTAACAGACATGATTATATGTAAGGGATCACGTTATAAATAATAGCATCCTACATCAATAGGTAATTAGATTATATATGGGCATTGGAAAAGAGTTCTCAGGAAGTTAAATGTAATAACTTCGTGATTTCTTCATCACATGGATGGGAAAAAACTGCATGTAGCAATTACCCAAATGGTATACAGGTTACCGCATAAAGTATTTGAGCTAGTACCCATGGGATTACAATTTGAGATAACTGTACATGAGCACAAGCACAATGCACAATTCTAATAACACTTGTAAACCAAACCAAATCCCATAGCATACTGAGCAGCCCCATCAAGGTTTTGGCCGGTACTAATCAATTACACAATATTCAGTAACTTGCAAACCTCTCAAATATAAAGGTAACAATAAAGTAATCTAAAATATATACTTTGCAGCATCATTTCTAGGGCATTCAGTATCAGTTTTAACCAAGAGAACGGCCATCTTTAGAAGCTCCAGCGATATGCAAGACTAATGTTAAACTAACACTAAGTGCTGAGTAGCTAATTTACCATCTGACTTATCAGCTCTTATAGAATTGAATAGTGTGCACTATTTCAAGATGTAACATGAGAAAACCCCCAATTAAAGTGGAGTGAACAGAGTTAAGCATTTAGGATTTGCCAGCAGCTTTCCTGTTCTGCCATCTGAAGTTCTGGTATCAAACATTTCAAAATTTAAGTTTGTGTTTGATAAAGGGTTACGAGCGAATTGGATGCTTAACCACACAAAAGTTGTGGATTCAAAAGAGTTAACTGAATTAAGGTTGAAGTGTTATATCATAATCCAAGATTAAGCTGACCCACAAAAAGGGAAAACAATACTTTATACAAACTATACTTCCTGCAAGATGCAGAAAATAGGCCAAGTTAACCTAGCTAAGTTAGGATAGGTAACCTAGTTATTTAGTCCCGAGACACCCCTTAAGATCGGGACAGTACAAAAACCCAAAGTGCAATACTCAACGGGAAGACTGTATTGTACTGGTAAACTCTTGACATTAGAAGTGGAGCATAGGAACAAATTTTGCAAACAAAAGAAGTAAACCATGATGTTATTTTATGCTTTCTTCAAACATCAAGAAACTTATAAACCTTTCAGTTCAGAGGTTTGAATCTATGCCCATACTGACATACTGTACCATAATTTCCAGGCATATTCTGACAGCTCTGCATCTATGGATCATAAGCAACCAGTATAGACTCCAGTCCTCAGAGAAGGGTATCTGTTTTCTTTGTTGTGATGATGATATTCTACTTTTTATGGATTTAATATGTTAGACTGTAATGCCAGCAACAGGTAACATCAGAAAACTCAAAGGCAGGTATCACGCACCAGGATCATCGTCTTCACTATCGGTGTCCCAAAAGGGAGGGGATGTTGAAGGGATCCCATTATCAACATGCTCGCAGGAGCGCCACTGAGAAAGGGAATCAGCAGAGACACTGTGATCCTTGTCCCCCAACCCACTGGTGCTTGCAGCAGAATCATCCATTATGCTAGCATCAGCCATCAGCAAATCCTCGGTGTTCCAACAATTGCCTAAAGTCACAGCTGCATATAGAAACAACAAGGACAAACTCACACTAAATATAGTATAATTACAGTTTGAAATCAACAAATTCAAATGTATGATGACCTCTCAAAACTCACACTGAATAAGCTCCATAATTGCAAATTAAGCAACAGCATCCCATAAACGTGGCATAGGATTTGCGACAAGGCTAATAAAAGGACCTTCCGTTTCATATGCAAGCCCACTGAGTTTTACAGGAATAAACTGGGTAGAGAATCATCATCAAGCTAAAGTTACTCCAGCCAGGGGTGGACTTGGTGTGGGGCATAAAGGTTCCACGGGAAACCCTTTTTTGGAAACCAAGCTACACTGGCACTTACTTCGGCAACGAGAAGTCATGCGGTGTCAAGGGGGGCAACTGATGTTGAATATAACCAAATCCACGGATCGACAATGATGGATTGGATTAGTCGGCCACCACGCAGCAACACATCAATTCACAGCAAACCTAATGGAGATTGGGGGAGGATACGAAGATTCGATTGAAGATGGAACCAACTCATCCGAGCAAGCTTAGGATTACTTCCAAATCCGCGTCGGCATGGATCTCCACACCACTAGCACGATAAAGGAGCAGCGCTACGGAGGCGGCGGCGGACTGAGCTGCGGCAGGCGTAGGATCCCTCAGAGGGATGAGAGGGACCGGCGGCCTAGAGCCGCTCGGCTGCGCCGAGCTGTGTTGGTAGCCTAGGTCTACACCTGTGAAGCCTAGAGAGTAGAGCTATACCTGCGTCCACGGCGGCTAACTGCGTCCACGGCGAGACGGAGCTGAGGTGGTGGTTCTCCCGCAGGGCGAGGGGAGGAGAAAGGGAGCAGACAGGGGAGAGAGAAAGGAGAGTATAGTATTTGGATTAGGAGCTTAGGGTGGGGTGATGTGTTTCTTCCTCCCGCGGTCAGCTTGCTGCCGCCGAGATGCGCGCACCCGTGCGGCGGACCGCGACGGATGGCCGGATGGGGACTACCGCAGCAGAAGGTAGCAGCGAAAGTACACACGCAAACAGCCGGGGCCGTCAAGGCATCTCTGGAATTCTGGTGTCTGCAGCACATTTTTTATACATGCCGACATGAAGTCCATGGGAGTAAATTTTATTACAAAATGAAATTACCATAACAACTACTACCACTATCCCAAAAAAAATATAATTATAGATTTATAATAACAAATCAAACTTACTTGATCTTAAGTTTGACCAAATTTATATAAAACAACATTAATATTTATATTTCTAAGTAGGTTTACTATAAAAATATTTTTTATAATTAATCTAATGATACTTATTTGACATCATAAATATGAATACTTTATATAAATTAAATTAAATTTGAATTTATTTGACTTCTCATAAATTGAAGAATTGCATTCCTTCTAAAATAGAGAGTATTGATTTAAAAAATTCATAGAATAAAGTGCCACGATAGGAGAAAACTACAAATTTAATAATTTTATATGGGTTGTGATACATAGTATCGCAAAACTATGTGTATGCTCGAATTTGTATGGGATGTGAATGTATGATACATTAGTTTTCCATATATTTATATGAGATATAGAGTTTTCGTGATAAATATTTTTTTATCAAATCCACAGTATCATGATATTTTTAGTGTGTTAGATCCACAATTGTGTTATATATATGTCACTTCCAATGCTTCAACTATAGTTCACTTTAATTTTTTCTCCAAATTATTTTTTAACTTTGATCAAATGATTAAAAATATACTAACATCTACATCATCAAATTAGTTTCATTAAAATTTATAAGAAATACATAAATCTTATTGTATTTGTTGTAAAAACTTGGATCAGAAATATAGGAATTTAGCTTATGGTAAAACTGAAATAAAACACTCCAAACCTAACTTTTTAGATTAAACAACTATAGAGTATAGTTTAGCTAGTTAGATATTTGTGGGAACCGGTCCCCACCTATTTGAAGGTCGACTTCATATGAGTGTTTACATTTTTCTAGATTTATTTTAAGATTTAATATTGTTATTCTGTGGTGCTCAAGATTTGGTTTTTTTAAGATATTCATAGATGCAGTGTGTTTTGTACTCTCTGTCCCAAAAAAATATACAATTTTAGAACAATGTCATATTTTAGTGCGTTATGTTATATAAAAATATTGATATTTATAGTACCAAATAGATGTCATTAAATTTATATAAAATATATTTCTATAACATACATATTTATGTATATTATTTTTTTACCTATATATTTGGTTAAATTTCAGATAGTAATTGAGAATGCACCTAAATTATATTTATTTGGACGGAGTTAGTATATTTATATTATAGGGATGAATGTATGTATATACTAGGATCATGCCCGTGCGTTGCAACGGATAAAAATAGATTATCATGAGATAATATATAACCTTTGGTCGTCACTCAAATCAACAACGAACCTGATGAAGAACAAACTAGCGAAAGGTCACTACAAGTGACCCGATCTGATATCAACGGTTTGAATCAAGGTTTTTTCTCCCCGCAGGGGCACTATTTATATACTTCCGTAGCACTTTACATGGACACAATTACCCCTCCGATCTAGGGAATATTCCTATTCGCCGAGGGTAATCCGGTCTTCTCCGTCTTCACCTCCCTCGGGTTCCAACCACCCTCGCCATAGGCCGGTGGTCCCGTCGGCCAGCTGTAGCCGCTCGGGCCACGTACCGCCTCTTCCTTAGCGACGAACAGGCGGAGAGTTCCTGCAATGCCAAAGAAAATTGCCCTGTGAAAATGCTCAACTGACCCTGTGTTTTTGCCCGATGGCCAAGCTTTCGCCCGATTGGGCGAAAGGTCCTTCTCAGCTACCTGCTATTGCGTCGTGTGAAAGCATGTGCGACGACCGAACACTCCCTTTCGCTCTCAATGGGACGTGAAAGGCGCCGACCGCAATACGAATCCCCCTTTCGCTAGCAGGGGGTGCGAAAGTTGATGGGCGTAGCCCAACAGTAGCCCCTCACCACCACGCGTAGGACTTTGGCGATGGCGGCGGTGGCACATCTTCCCTTCTCAGGCCCCTGCGCCATCCCCTTGAGGTGCGAAAAGGAGCGCAGTCTTGCTTTGGTGTGCACCATCTTTTCAAAACTCTATGTCGCAGTTCTAATCTCCAGTAATGTTTATGTATATTTTATTATTGTCATCATTCATCGTTTTTTTCAGGTGAATCGTCGCGTCGCCCACGGTCGTTGGCCTTGTTTCGAAAATTGCGCCTTTTTGGGGATTCGCGCCCGCGACGGTTCGGAGCGCCTGAGGGGCACCTATAAGTACCCCCCCCCCCATCATATTGAAGAGCCGTGCTGCCCTTTGCCTCCTCCTTAGAGCCCAGTTTCTTCTGCCCTTTCGCCTCGACAAGCACTTGCCTTCCATTTGAGCTGCTTCGTCCTATGCTTTCACTCCAGATTTGTTCTTTTTAACTCTTGATTTATGCTTTCACCATTTATGTTTGGCGTGCGCGTATCTTTTCCTTCTTTCTGTTTTTCCCTTTGTTAATTTCGCTGCCACTTTAGATGGCGCCTTCGGTAGAGAGCTCATCATCTGCGTCCTCGCCTTCCGAGTCATCGAGTGGGAGCGAAAGTTCTACTGGTTCCCGTGTTGAGAGAAAAAGGTCAAGATTTGCCTGCCAAGAGGGAAGACAGCGCTGAGTGGGCGAAAGGGCAATGAGGAGGATGAGCCATCACTCCCGTCTGTCTCCGTCCAATCAGAGCATGTTTGTATTATTGATTTTAAGGAGACTCCCTCGATTGTGCTGCCTACAAATTGCTCATTTTATCTTGGGCGGTCCAAGGTTACTCATAATTTAATCTAGGATTATGTGAACAAGGACTATCCGTGGCCCTTGACTGCTAGCTCCTTTCGCCCTCCTGGCGATGAGGTGATACCACAACCGAGACCCTATGAGGCTGTGGTGTTGTGTGACTACTTCATCGTGGGCCTGGATTTCCCTCTGGAGAGTTTCATCAGCGAAGTGTTGCGACGATTCGAAATCTTGGTGCATCAATTGACTCCCAATGCTTTCGCCCGCTTAAGCGTTTTCACTATGGCGATGAAGATGTTGGGCCACGTGCCGAATGTTGATACCTTTATACATTTTTATGAAACATAGCGTCAAAGGGGCGAGGTCTAGGATCCCATTGTTGGGAAGAAGCTGTCGCTTGAGTTCGGGGCCTTCAATTTCGTCCCGAAGAAAACCCGCGGCACAATTACTATCATGCCAACGTATCGGAACAAGTGGCCTCGATGGACCAAGTATTGGTTTTATCACCGCATCTATCCTGATGGCGATGTGCAGGAGGCTAAGGCGAATGGATGGGAGCGTGCGTCTCCTCTTGTTTCTACCCTTGCCGAATGGAAAGGCAACCGACTTCTGACCTTCTCGAAGACTATAGAATAGGAGGCTCATAGCGGGGATGCTTTCGCACTAACGTCTCGGTTCCAGATAAGCCGAGATCTGATTGAGGAATGGGTGGACTTGGAACGAAGACCGCTACAAACCTATACCTGCTTTCGGGAAGTGGTTCAACGCGGCGATTATCGTGGCCCCACCCTTGATATAGAACGACCTGACCGCTTCCCCACCGATAAGGATTTCGTCGAGTTTGTTGAGTGGAAGGTTGTCGGGATATGTGGTCCGTACTTGGATAAGGAGGCTAAAATTACCGGTTTGGGTTCTCGAAGACACATTAACCGAGTGTTTGACTTGATGGGGGTCGAGTATGATTATCGCCCAGTCCTGGCTGAACAAAAGTATGAAGCTGCTGAGAGGGCAAAAGGGAAGAAACATGCCCCGGTGAAAGACAAGGGACCTGCCAAGTCAAAAGGGCAACGGTGTGTTGCCAGGAAGATCAGGGCTTCCGAGCCTAGTGACGTGCAACTAGGGCGCAAGATGGAGAGGCCTTCAAAGAAGAGCCAAAAATTTACCCTTGGTGGTTCGGATTGCGATAGTGTTGCGGTTGATACGGAAGGGGTACGTGAGGCTTTGGGCGTTGCTTCTTTTTATGTCAGAGGCTTTCGCTATCTGAATAGATTTTTGATCGGTATTTGTGGTGTCTTTATTTTTCTAACCGTGTATCTTTTTCATCCTTGGTTTTCTTTTAGGGTACCTCGACGTCTGTTCGGATGGCACCGAAAAGGCCTGCTGCCGTGACGTCTTCCATCTTTGACAATGATGACATTTCTTTGATGGAGATGCCGGCTTTTCCGAAGGTTGTGCCGAAGAGGCCTGCCCCATGAGACGACGGCTCGAAGAAGCGCAAACATGCATCCTCTCAAAGCGGAGAAAACGAAAGGGACTAACCAAGAAGGGCACGAGAAGGAGGTTGAACTGACGA